TTTGTGCCAAGGAATTTTGGATAAGGCAAATGACGGGTGACTGTCGTCACGAAGGGAGATCTTTTGAATCGAGAGTAGTTTCACGTATGCTGGACGGCAGAGGCTTTCGATGAGTTTCAGGCAATAAACAGGTGACCACACTAGCCAAGAACGACATTGATGCAAGCAGAAACATTGGCGACATTGGCCAGATCGAACCCTAGAACACGATCAATCAAATCGTTCACCTGCACGAATCAAGTAGTCTAGAACGTACCAATATCCGTATGTATGGAGCAGCGATCGCTCCTCCTCGAGATAAAACACTGCATAAACCAACGGAAACATTCCGAATGGGTGTCGGAAACACCTCACTGGCGTACACGAATAAAGCCATGAAAGCACAGCTGATTGCAAATTTCCCCATCAGCCAGCATCCCAGAGATATCCATGTGTCCGCTGGAATGGGCAATGAAACGGATCAAAATAAGCTCTCAAAACTCACATTATATGAAGTGCGCCGAAGGCCTTTAAGAGTTCAAAATACAAAGAGAAAAAGGAAAAAAAACGAAATTTGGAATCCAGAATTTATAGAAAAATATGCAAGCCGCTCAATCAACCTACAGTCTTGCAGTACTATATAAACAAACACGTGAATAAGTACAGAACTAAAAGAGCTACGCCAAGTGTAGTCTCATTGTCAGAAAAGCGACTGTACCTTGAGCAAAAGCTGGCAAGAGAAAGCAAATGGCTGCGAGAAGGTGCGTTCCGGAGACGACCAGCTTTCGTCCATATCTAGAACAACTGAATTTGAGCAAAAAAAATCAGGCTTGTCTGCCGGGTTAACTGCTTCTTTAAATTAGGAAAGTCACCGATTTGCAGCTTAAGATGCTTCCAGGACGTTAGGAAGGGATGGGAAGCATAATCGCCGTGTTGAAGGGCTTCAATGGCTTGGCAGCTGCCCAGAAGCGTTCTGGCATCAGTCTGTTCGGCAGTACCCGAAACGCTGGGTCGAACATATGATGGATCTAATTAATCTGTTACACCGGCTTAGGAAGCTATGTAGCATGATGTTCATTGTTGGGTCATTATGATAGCGGGAAAATCGCGGCATTCATCTGTTAATAGGGAATTACAGTCCGCGCTAACAATAAGTTGCGCAACACTTCGAAACACTATAAAAGGGATCATGACAACCGAATGAACAACACGACATGTTCGAGGAAAAGCTCATCGTTGGCGTGGCTTCGGGCTGCTCTACCTTGGCCATTGTGGCCTGCCTGATTGTGGTTCCGTCGCTCTACTAACACCATCAACGAGATCCACGATGAGGTCCTCGAGGGCGTGTCCGTGTTCCGCGTTGAGACTGATTCCGCCTGGAGCCAGATGATGGACTTCCAAGTCACCGTTGCTCCTCCAACCAAGCCACGTGAGAATCCCTTCGGCTCTATCTTCCGTAGCAAGAGGCAAGCCGGTCTTCCCTCATTCTGCCAGTGCACGCCTCCAACCGTCAACTGCCCACCTGGACCTCCCGGACCTCCTGGACAGCCTGGACAACCTGGTGAGTTTCTGTTTCTTCATATCACTCATGTAAATAATAGGATGATTTACATAATTTACATTTTTCACTTATGCAGACAATTATATACTTTTTAGGACAACCTGGATCACCTGGTCAGCCTGGACAGGACTCCACCACCACATACGCACCCATCAACTGCCCTGCTCCACCCACTGGTTGCATCACTTGCCCACCTGGACCGGCAGGACCACCCGGACCAGATGGAAACCCTGGAGGCCCAGGACCCAACGGAAACCCAGGTCAAGCTGGACAGCCTGGTCAGAATGGACAACCAGGACCCCCTGGACCTCCAGGAGATGCTGGAGCACCAGGAAACCCCGGAGGCGATGGACAACCTGGACAGCCCGGACAAAGCGGCACCACTTCCACCAACACTCCCGGAGGACCTGGACCAGCTGGACCACCTGGAGCTCCCGGAAATGCAGGAGGAACCGGACAGCCAGGAGGTAACGGAAACGATGGACCACCCGGACCACCAGGACAGCCAGGAGCACCAGGACAGCCCGGAAACGATGGTCGTCCAGGAAACCCAGGAGGCACAGCACCACCAGGAGGTGATGCCTCCTACTGCCCATGCCCACCTCGCTCATCTGCTTTCGTGCGCGCCGCTAAGCACTAATCTTCAGAGGAATACAGTATGCGTTCATATATTTATTTTGCAATTTCCTTCGAATAACGATTGTTTGAAGAATAAACGATTTACTCAAAATTCATATATTGTGTTTTCTAGCAAAATAGGGATAGAGTATACTGCTGACGTGGTCTGGCTCAGCACCCATAATCCAGCATTCGTTTTCCTTTAGTCTTGCATGCTCGGATCTACTCACTACTGATGCAGTGCACCTACAGTAATTGGTTCCAAGTTCTATAGGGTGGCGATACAATACCGATATTACTTTGTGGACTCTTCTACCCCATGCAACTTCAGAGGTAATAGGGTAATAAACAACTTTCATTGACTCCTGACAGTGGCTCACTTGCTCTGGACTGTACTGTTCCTTTAGGTGGAGCGGCAACTTTTGCGTGTACAGTCATTATCAATGAAGTTTTTCACAGGGTGTCAGAATGGCGCAGATTCTGGCGCAGCGCAAGCCCCTTCCCAAAGTCTGCGTGCACCCGAAGCCGCAACGATGATAAAAAAATGCCGGTGCCGCGTCCAGAACTCACGCCCCGTTGGCAAATCCCGTGAGAATGGGTGTACCGGTACAACTTCCAGGGATCACTTCTTGAGAAAAAACTCTCAAAAAAGGAAACCAGTCAATGGGAGATCTTCTCAGAGCAGTTTATGGGCTCAGATTTAGCATTTGTACTTAAGTAAACCAGTGGTCAGTCATCTTCAATAGTCCTTTCGACCCTTTCAACTCTGGGAGGCCCAGTATAAGCTCGAGTGCCATAACAATGTATAGAATACCTGGCGTATTCCAACAAGCTAGCGCCTAATATTTGACATTTTATGCTTTAGAGCAGCAACAATGGGTGGCATTCGCCACTCTTAGGAGAACATCCTGTCTTGCCCAGAGACCTTGTTCAGTAAAACTTAAAAACTCTATAAGAACGTACTTTTCCAGCAAAATTGGCGCGGCAATGTATGCCGGTAGTTCCACAAGTCCCATCAATAAGTAGTTCGTGTAAGGATTACCCGCCAGTTGGGTACTGTAGAGGGACAATCCGAAGTAAACGAAGTTGTCACATGTCCTGAACAACAAGAAAACTATGAATCTTACGTGCCTAACAGAAAAGTAAACGTACCACATGTAAAGCTGAATGAAGCAGTAGAGAATAAAGATCTTGTGAATCCATAGCTCATGGAAGAACGAGACTCTGGAATGATCTATGGTTTGTTCTGTGTGATTTTTTCATTGTATCAAGATGTGGGTCAGGAGATGCGAAACGCGGCGCCGCCGCGTTGGAAGTGGCGTCGCGCGAACGGCCGAGGCAGTAGGGGCCGCAGCGAAGATGGTTTATCACAGCAGTGCGCGCGCAGTGGCTTAATTTTCGGGCGTTGTCGCTATTCGGGGCGCTAACGCAGCCCCTGTAGTTGCTCCGGTACGTTACTGGTTAAGAGTTGGGTGATCAGTGACGTCACATAACGCGTCTGGAGACGTCCTATACCACGTAGCAATACATTTTTCTTCGGTGTTAACGTGTTTTATGTCCCACAATGTGAGTTGGATCGCTGTCATGCCCTTAATCTTTACACACCTCTGCCAAAACTCGGATTTTCTGGCCCACAGTCACCTTCTTGGACTTTCTGACCCGAACCCAGGCTATGTTGTGCACCACCTCTGATGTGAGTTGAAGGGTGTAGTAAAGGACATCCGAGGCGCGCTGAGTACAGCATTGTTTACTTCGAGCTGGGTTTCGCGCGCCGCCAGCTCGTTCTCCACCAGTTGCTGAAGCGAGTGAGCCATAGATTGTCGCTGCTGGGAAAAGAGAGAAAACGGGCTGGCGCAGCGCCAAACGCATCCCCCTTCACATTCCGTCATCCGCAGCGAACAGGACTATTTCCCGTGTAATTGAGTTAACACGCCGCAGCACTGCTCCTGTAGGGAATTGGGTCCTAGTGCGAATGACCCCGCCTGTAGCCCGCCTTTAGCCGCGCTCGCCGCACCTCTGACGTGCTGAACCACATTCGCAGTGGTCTACTCAATTTGAAGACGCAAAAACTGGTATGATAGCGTTGGAAGTGAGAAGAAGTAGAGAACTGCACTCACTTTTCAGTTGACGAGTCATCAGCCGGGTGCTCAAGTAAGGTAGTGATGTTTGTCTGATGAGGTGACGAGTAGTTAATCCCCAACAGCCATTCGTGAATCCTTTTGGTCCGACGTTTCGAGACGAGAAAGTGAAGCGTCTCTGGAACAAATCTGCAAACAATCTTCAATTCTACTACTTCCCAGAAGAAAACTGTTGTGGAATTCAATCAAGGGGAGTTTTATTCCGCATCCCA